AAGAAAAAAGGGATTTGCTGTATCCCAGAAAAAAGGAGTGTATTTTCAAAATACAAATATGTAATCTTTTCCCCCCCGCAGGAAAAAGTAATTAAACTACTCATATTCTTATAAGAATAAACTCATATGATTGAGAGACATACATTGTATATTTTCAATAAAAAGTCAGTAAAGTTTTATAAAGTTCAGAAAAAAGCACAACTTTAATCTCAGTGTATTTTCCCCCCCCCCCCCTTTTCAAATAATAATATAAAACATAAATAATACTGAGCAAAGTTGTGTGGAAGTCTGAACAAACTCCCACAACAACTTACTTACTTTAGAACCCGGTTTTGAAACACCCATTTCAAAGGAAACTCGACAGTACTGGGAGCAAAATCTTTGATGGAAATGTTTAATTTCTTCTGCTCCCAAAGCAGCGGCATCTTTAGTGGCTCTGCGGAGTCGATGCGTTTGCCTCGGCTCGTCTTATTTGACTGGGGAGCCCCCGTTTGCCTTGAAGAGGAATTGTGCTTGCAAACACTGCTTATTTATTCATCGGCGCTTCTCGCCTTGCTTGTCTTTGAGCCAATGTTATCGTGAAATAGCTGCTCGGATGACTGGGAGCCTTTACACCGTTTGGATGTGCTCTCGCTTTCAGCGCTGTTCGTTTTGCAGCTACAACAGAAACTCCCTTGCAAAACTCACACAGTGAAAAGTTTAAAAAAATAAATAAAAAAAAGAGAAGAAAATTAAATCAGCCCAGACGCCAGTTATACAAATTGAGGCATAATTGGTTTGACATGCTTATTTTTAACTGGATGTACAAAAAAAAGAAAGAAAAAAAGCACTTTTTTTTTTTAAAGTAGCCATTTTGCACGCAAGAGGCGCCCCTCGGGAAAGTTAGAAAAATAAAAAATGAAACCTCTCACACCCGTTTCACAGATCGGCGCAAAAAGTTTTGTGGCCATGTCACTCATCCACAAAAATGTCTCAAGAACCCATGCACAAAATAGACCCCTGAGTCAGCCATTTTGGTTTGAAGCCGCCATTTTGCATCAACCCCGGACACCGGTTACGCTCGAAATTAGTCGGACATGTCTAGCATAACGAGAAGCATGAAATAGTCTCAAGCACCAAGGACCAAAATCAAACAAAATCTCTGCCGCTTTGGTTCGAATCAGCTCCGAAATCAGCCCCGAAACCATTTTCACCAAATGACACAAAATTGGTTGAATATTTGTCATAACAGGAAACACAAAAAAAAGTCTCAAGAACCCGTGCACAAAATTGACCTTGAAGTCAACCGTTGTTTTGAAGCAGCTGTTTCGCACTCAAGACGCAGCTCCTAAAAAGTTTGGGGAAAAAAAATCATGCCCCCCCTCCACCCCTAGTTTGTCAGAATAACAAGGATAAGCGCCTTAGATGACGGATGGATAGACGTACGGACAGACATGTCCATCATGACAGGACACACGAAAAAGTGTTTAGAAAGGAAGCCATTTTGGCTAGAAGTAGTCATTTTGGCCATTTTTAAAAATTCATTTTGTATATTTTTTTTGCCTGCGTAGGCAGAACTAGGTGTCAAAGCTTCATCATCATTTCAAGAACTTGGAAACTTGAAAAGTCAGAGTTACTTGTGTCCGAAATCAGCCCCGAAACCATTTTCACCAAATGACACAAAATTGGTTGAATATTTGTCATAACAGGAAACACAAAAAAAAGTCTCAAGAACCCGTGCACAAAATTGACCTTGAAGTCAACCATTGTTTTGAAGCAGCCCTTTCGCACTCAAAAAGTTCGAGGGGGAAAACCCCCCCACCACCACCACCACACCCCCTAATTTGTCAGAATAACAAGGATAAGCGCCTTAGATGACGGATGGATAGACGTACGGACGGACATGTCCATCATGACAGGACACACCAAAAAGTGTTGAGAAAGGAATCCATTTTGGCTCGAAGTAGCCCTTTTGGCCATTTTTTAAAATCTTAAAAATCCATTTTATCTTTTTTTTTTTGCCTGCGTAGGCAGAACTTGGTATCAAAGCTTCATCATCATTTCGAGAACTTGGAAACTTGAAAAGTCAGAGTTACTTGTGTGCTATCAGAAGAAATCTAGCAAATCCCAGACGAGGAAGCAAACTCGCTTCCACTTGGAAATCGGATTTTGGTGAAATCATTCCAAGATTTGATTTGAAGGCCATATCGCCCAGCCGTAGTTAACAGTCAGCTCGACGGCATCTGCTGCTCATTTGTTCTCTTGGGGAAACTCGGACAAGTCACTGTAGAGCAACTAAATGACCTCAGCCTAAAGCTGTCAACACACCATTACATCCCACGCCGACTATTAAAGGCAGAGGAGGTGGAGTGTGTGTGTGTGTGTGGGGGGGGGGGTGTTTAGGGAACGCTTTAAGGCCAAAGTCAGTGTAGCGCAAAGGTGTTGGCAGATATAAGCTGCAGATCTGCTGCTCATTTGTTCTCTTGGGGAAACTCGGACAAGTCACTGTAGAGCAACTAAATGACCTCAGCCTAAAGCTGTCAACACACCATTACATCCCACGCCGACTATTAAAGGCAGAGGAGGTGGAGTGTGTGTGTGTGTGTGGGGGGGTGTGTGTGTGTGTGAGTGTTTCGGGTTCACTTGGAATCGTAAATCCTTCCCAAAGAAATGTTTTGCTGCTACTCCCTTACCATTCCGAAGTCGTGATTTAGTTTGGAATAACATTTTTTTCCCCCCTTTTTTGACACGTCTGTCTTATCGCTTTGGTCTGGGTGACGTTGACCTTCTCATGACTTACTCACCAGACACTCGCACCATTAACGACTTATAAATTACAGTTTTGTGTCAGCAACATAAATATAATGTTTTTTTTTTCCCCTCCTGCTCCCTAATTACCTTGCTGTATTGTATCA